AAATAGAAAAAATAGATCGAAAGGTAATATGCGTATATATATATATATATATAGCTGGGTATGGCCATTTAAAGAAAAAAAAAGGTAAGAAAGAGTTTTTAGCAAAAGTAAGAAAAGCCCATAGTCATTCATCTTAGGATTGGTTTAGTCTATTTAAATGGTGAAATTTTATCAGCGAATGTTTTCACTTCAAAACGATGACTAATTGAAGGTAGTTGTCATACCAAAAGTGCATTTTGACGAGACCTTTTTTTTTTAGATTAGTAGCAAAGGAGGAGAAAAACGATAAAATTCACTAAAAATCGATTTGCCCATTATGTATGTGTGTGTGTGTGAGAGAGAGAGAGAGAAAAAAATGAAAGAATGAACAAACGATGGTAGGATAAATTTTTGATTAAAAAATAATAAAATAGCAAACTTTGGAACATTTGATAAATATTATCAAAATTGGAAGCATTCTTTATTGATAATTGATAAAATAAGCCTTCAATTATGCTTTGATACCATAAAATATCTCTTATCTTTATCTGATTGATTGTAATTAAATTAATCGATATGATTGCAAAGTCATTCTATCATTGCATATAGACAAGTAAAAAATGGCTAAACGATGACTTTGTTTCTTTTCCGAACAAATGAATAATTTTTCTATTTTCCATTTTTTTTACTGTAACGAAAGAGAAAAAACGAGAAATATCAGTGACAGTTGTCTGATTGGACGATGAATATATATAGTTAGACAATATAGAAAAGAAAAATCAACATGTTTATGATAAAATGTATTCTTTCTTTTTATTATTAAAATTTATTACAAGAAATGTCACGGAACTTTTTTTTATCATCTAAGGCGACATTTTATGACATTAAAATGGTAAGTGCATATTTACTTAAAGGAAAGTATACTTTTGGGAGTTTTTCCTTTTTTTTTGGTACATCAAAGAAAATATTAAATGTAAGAAGCAGAAATAAAATAGCTGTTAGTTTGTCAACTTCCTAACATATTCTCTTCTAAATGTAATGTTTGCAATTAAGGTTTTATTCATCAAAAAAGAACTCTTTTCTTCATTAAATATTGATCAAATTTGGCATACCAATCAAATAATTGTCATCGGAACTGATCGAACATTTTATGCTTTATTATCAAATAAGATGTGTTAAATCGATGAAAAAATAAACATAGATTACAATTGATTTTACAAAGGTGCAAAATTTTACTTTATCATATTCTCACTGATAATAACGATAGAAAATTGTTGGAAAAAAGTTGACATTATAGATCAGATTGAATCATCTATCAATTAATTCCCACCAAAATAAGAAAGTTTTGTTATGCGTAACAAACAGCGCCATACTCTTCCATAATACATCATTCATTTGCAAAGAGCTATTACTCAGTTAGTCATCAGGAGTCGATATTTTGCTGTTCCGAATAACTCATAATTATCAGTGTAGTTGTTTGCGCAGCGCTCTTTGATGAAAAGAGCTTTTCTAAGTACTTGATAATTCATAGCTAATTACAACAACAGCAACAACAGCGAGACAGGTATGTTACCTTTTATAGAATATGAGTTAATCTAATAATCTGCTAAACATTAATTTAGCTTGATAATGTTGACCATGGCTAATGAGATTATGCCTAATATCTAATGACATATGACAATAAATATTAAATGGCAAAAAGAAGCAAAATGAATTTTTATGAAAGTATTTGTTTGAGAAAATGGGAATGAAAGTAATAGATAACTAAAAGGCAATGAGATAATTAGATTTTCAGAGTGCATTTTCGTTGTCTGATAAACGAACATTTCTTCAAACAAATGCCATGTCCCAGTTCTCTTCTACTCATTTCTTTTTAATCAATTTAGCTAGACGGAAAAAGTATGGGAATGACTCAAAAGAAAAAAGATATTAAACTTTGCAAAAATTATAAAAACTTTAAAATTTATTTCAAATTCTCCAAAATTTAGAAAAATTTTACGTAAAACTTTTGAAAAATTCTCCAAAAGGACTAAATCATTTGTCTTTGGGTATTATTAATTGAATCGATAAATGAGTTAAGATAACGATGGATAAATAGGTAAATTAATTGGATGTGCATTATATGAAAGAGAAAGTTTGTGACAGAAATTTGACAATTTTTCAACTATCAAATGCTAACTACCAACCACTAAATAAGCTTTTATTAATGCTTGCATCCTGCTTTTTTCTTTTATTTGCATAATCAAGCAATAATTTATGTGGATGATTTGCATGAAAAGAAATCGAATAAAAATTTTGTCCCGTTTAGATTTTCCCATCGCATAAACATACACATGCATGATCATTTGCGCCTAAATATTCTTCCATAAGTTCTGCATTGCTCTACGAAAATAGCATAACTCTAATTGACCAGTCAAGTTGAAATATCCCAATATATAAATGCATATACCGCCACTAAATATGAATATAAAGGAGTGCAAAAGAAACTTTTTGTTCGCATTGATTTTGTCATAATTAATGTCATTGATTTGACTGGAGTATTTGCCGGCATTTTACTGAATATATTAATTTGATAAATGATACCTGAGTGATACCTGTATCTGTTTCAATTTTTATCATCGAATATTTTATTGGAATTATTAAAAATTAAAATTTTATGCCAAAATTAGACAAAGAATATGATAATTGGAAAACATCGATTAGTAAGAGAGGTATTTGAAACATTCAAAGTTCAAAGAATTTCTGCATATGTTGAAACTTGATTTATCCTAGCCAAGAAGAGAACAGAAAACAATATTTAATAGCAGTGAGAAAAAACATCTAAGCTCATTTCATTATTCAAGCATTCCGTCTGTTTTGATGAAGAAAGAATGATTCCGAAGCTAGTGACAACGAATGATGTCATTATCGATTGTCAACTAAAATCGATGGTGAGATAGCTGAGTTATTCATGACTCACTTGTTGTATGACGCTTTCTCAGTAGCGACACATTAAACCGAGAAGGAAGATGGAATAAAAAGTTCATTTCCTAATAAGCAAAACAACAAACCCAAATCGTTGCAGTCTTTCCGATATGTCGCAAATACTAACCTTTCGGTGTCAAAGACATGATTTGGATTAGAAGAAATCCTTAAACTTTGTCACCTTTTAAACTGTCAATAGAATAGAAATGAGAACATCTGAATAATGCCACTCTTTGCCATCAAATACAAAATGTTCTTAAAGCTCGTTTATCATGTGGAATTGTGGAATAACGGAATTGTGAAACTGGAACATATTGACATAAATAACATTTTTTCATGGCACTTTATATGAAATAATTTTAAAAAAAATTTTTTTTTGCACAAAATTTTTATAAATAAAGGAATGAAATTTTGTTGAATACTTAGATGAATCCAATTGATTTTCAAATTTGTGAATATTTCCATTTTAATTTGTAATGAATCCTTCAAAATCTTTTTTTAAATCATATCAGCAATTTTTTTTCTGCTTTGTTATTTGCTCACATCTTCATTTCGACAATTTTTAAATTATTCAGATAACAATACTTCAGATGGCTCTTAAAATGGTTAATTTTTTGAGGACAAATGTAAATAAAATGACTGTTGTAGAACAGAATAGAATTGAATAGATAACAGAGCTAAGTTAAAGAGTAAACTAAAATAATTAATGAAAAGTTTAGATTTGGATAGAAATATTAGCACTTTAAAAATACAGGAAAGTTACTGCATGATGAATATTTTATTACGATTCAAAAGTTGTAAATTTGTCGAAAATCAATACCACATGTTTTCAAGGTTTTTTCTCATTTCACACCTATAAAGCATAGATCGGAAATATTTATGTACAAATTGAAAATATAATCTAGAAGAGTAGTACAGTAGCAAAGTGGAAGTAAAAGTTATTACAAACAATAGCATGAAAGAAATAGAAAGAGAAAAGAAAAGATATACACTAATCGGAATCGATTTAGCGCTAGCGAACCGTTATCAAAATATAAATAATCAATTTCCTGAAGATCTAACTCAGTTTCTGGTTCAGGTTCAGGTTCTGGTATCGGTTTTGATTGGATTAATAACTTGTTTTTGATTGTTGATTCTACTCTAGATTTTAAATTAGATTTCGTTACAGTTGATCTTTGTACTGCAACAGTTGTGAATGATGTTGTTTTACTTGTTGTTGTTGTTGTTGTTGTTGTTGATAACGAAATAGATTGCGGATGTATCGAAACTTCCATTGGATGAGTAGAAGGATCGTGCACCTTAGATGGCGGGTGTTGTATGGATGCTAGACCTGGTTGCCGAAATTGAGGTGGAGGTCGAATACTGAGCGGTTGTTCATCAACAGAAACAAATTCGATCGGATGTACTCCACGATTTTTATCTGTAAAAACAAAATATATTTTTCGGATATCTACTGCAAGTGAGATATAATTTCTATGGTAAAAAATAAAGAAAGATTTACTTCCGTGATACTTTACTTCATCGTGTTTGTAAAAATTATAATCACTGATCGGACCCTGATCAAGTGCCGATTTGACAGCATGCGAATAAGAACCCATCGTTTGTCCTTTTGCATAGATGACAAAAATTTCACCCGGTCCAAGTGGATGATCCGATGGTTCTATCTCTGAGATTGCAAGTAATTTATTATGATTATTGCTTTAATTTGTAAAACAATTGCTTTAAATGACTGCTTGTAGATGATTTCTGACAATTTGAGAATAATAAATAAAAGAAAGAGAGAGAAAAAAAACTGCTAATTATCCATTCAAAATCCGGCTTAATTTCAGGATTTTCTACATTCCTGGTTATCAAATTCTTTATAGAATGTCGATTTTTGATTAAACTTCGAAAAGTTATCAATGAGGGAAAAAAACAGTAGTTCTGTTAATCAACATTGACATTTGATTACATGGTTTGTTATGGTTATTCAAGCTGGACCTATATAATTTAAATTAAGCATTAAATTTATCAATTTATCAGATAACTTATTATAGATATAATTTAGCTAACAACTTAATTCATTCCAATACTATTCATTTTTATTCAATCCCAAAAAACGTCAAAAGAAAAATTACAGTTAAAATTATTTTCAAATTATTCAAAAAACAAAATTATTTTCCAAAAAAAATTTTTACCAGCAATTCGTCTTCTGAACATAACTATTGTCCGACCATCACGTTCTATACCATAAGCTGCCGAAAATGATTCTTCACCATCAAGCCTAAAAGGATTTATTATTTACTCTGATTGTGATCAACGATCAATATTAATTTAAAGTTAGATTTTAAAAAATTACAACGACCAAAGGATCGTATTCCTAATAAATTACAATAAACAAATAGCAATGTCAACCAGATGTCATGAAGTGGTGTGGAGCGATCTCTGGTATACATATCATTGATTCTTGATCGACCATCCCGCACTGAACCGATCACAATATCTGTACAATCCATAGGATGAAGAGGTGCTTGAAGTGCTGCTCGCACTAAAACAAATAAATCTTAACTTCCACTAAAAAAAAAGAGAAAGCAAACAAATTCCGATTTACAAAAATGTTTCGGTGAAAGTTCATAATTTATTAACCTTTGAGATAAACAATTATAGAATTTAAGAGAAGAAAATGAATAAAAGTTCGAATAATTAAATATTATACTTACATAATCCGTTATTTTCAGGTAATTTTGGCATTGGTACTGGCATCAGATTTGGATTAGCCAAATTCTGATTCAGTGATTCATTCATTCGAATCGTTGAATGTGGAATCAATACCCCTTTGGTATCTCGCTTATATCGAGTATTTTCCAAATCAGGAAATAATCTGCAAGAACGATCGATTTCCATTGGTCGCCAACCAATTGAAATCCACGAAGTACTTTTATAATCCAAAATTATCTCCAATTCATCCTTAAATTAAACTGTCATAAATCTCAGATTCTTAAAATTAAACTGTATCAAATCATAAATCCCGAAATTTCAATAAATTCATCAAAGGACGCTTTTCAAAGTGAGGGAATTATTTGCTCACTTCAATCAAACAAATCCTTCAAATCTTTGAATCATTTTCAGTTTCTCATTAAAATTTCATCAGCAACCATCTCTAATCAAACTTACTCGAACAATTCGTGAATAAACAAAATCATCATCATTTAGCATAGTTTTTTTGAAGCATTCTTCATCAAAAAGACCATATTTATTGTAATTATCCTCATCTTTTGGATAATTATAATTAAAACATTTATCATTTTCAGGTTTAGCATCAAATGCTGAAAATATTGTTTAAATGAATTGAAGCAAAATAATCAACTAATATTGTTGATATAACTTTCACTTTTCGTCTAACTATTGCACTTTTTCCATTTCTTTTCTTTCCTTCCAAGAACATGCTAAATATTCATTCAGATACTTCATTTTCTTTGCAGTTTTTACTAAATCATAAGCAAATTATGAAGTACGACGATAAAGTATCATTTACGACAAATTTCAATAACCAAATCTTTATTACTGAAATAAGCATTGCTTGTCAAACTTAGTCTCTTGATTCTTTCACTGTGAAGCAAATTTTTGACGAATAATAACTTGTGATGAGCAAAACGAACTTCGATCACAATTTTGTCCAAAATAGCCAAAAGCGCAATAACACGTCCTTCTTACGATATCATTTGATTCCTTTATACATTTGCCATCATTTAAGCAATCTTCATCAGTTGAGCAATAATCTGGAAGTTTTCAATTTTCCAATTAGATTTAATGAACTAAAGAAAGAAATCCAAATTTTCCGATATAAATTTAAAAAGAAGAAAATTAGAATGACCAAAACTTCGAAAGTCACTTTATGGTTACTCGTTTCCTTTTTTTTCTAATACTTCTGGTTAATTGAATTTCAATAGCAAAGTGATTCAAATTATTTGCAATATCCATCATATTGACCGGCCTGTCATTGTTTTAACCTAATTGTTATGCAATCGAACAGGTACTACGATATTATGATTCTTTACCTTAACCTGAGTTT